TTGTCGCTCATTGCGTGACCTCGGCCGCAGGTAGAAAGGCCTGAACTCGTATATTTTCAAAGCAGTTTTAATGGCTTATTTCAACCTAAAATCTTTTAGTTAAGCAAAATATGCCACAGTTAGGACGCTTCTACAATAAAACAATACAAACATATGTTAACGAATACGACAACATTTTTTAATATAATTAAAAAAAGCTTGTTGTCTTCCGAGAAAATTAAAATACTCCAGATTAACTCTTGACCCTCTACATTTTATGACAATCAAAAACAACAAGTTTCACACATCCACTCATTGCAGTATTAAATTGTGACCATTATAATTTTATTGTACGTATTTAAATTGAACATGTACTGGAATTTAATAATTAATTCTTTGTTTTCTTATGTTTACTTTGAATTTGTCCTCATTATTTGATGGCATTATTATCAAGCAAATATCGTTCATAATTCAGTGGATGTGTTTGTCGGTCATATTATCGTGCAACGCCATGAACAAACACTGGACTTGTTGCAGCTGAAATTGTTCGTGTTCAATTATAGTAACTTGCAAGCAAGTGTATCATCGACCAAAAGTTTGCTAAATGCAGCTAAAAGTGTGTATGTAAAATCTTATTTTTTCATATTTTGTTATGGTTTTGTCCAGAACTTTGTGATAGGCTTGACACCGGATGGTTAAAACTGGTGATTGATTTTTTTTGAACAAAGTTATAAAGAGTCAAACTAAGGCATTATTGTCATTTGCTGTTCTTTTACAGTTTAGGGCTATATGTTTGGTTGGGATTCTGTCTGTAATATCTCAATTTTCATTTTCGATCCCATAAAGTATATTCTGAATCAGCATTGATAGAATAGTCAATAGAGCGACGTTCCTCTAGAGGTTGTTGAAATCAAATTTCTGAGAAAACTTTTAACTTCATTACTTCACTAATCTGTTGGAAAATGGATGCAAGTAATCGCAAAATCGGTTTACATGCGATATAGACAAAACATTGGTCGCATTTCAGAAAAATTTGGATTTTTTTTGATTTTTTTTATAATGTGATTTGATGTAGTCATTAGAGGCAAAACATGTTTTTCGACATGGATTCATATATAGCCGATATATAGCGTCAACCGATTTCTCAAGGAATGAGACTTGAGTCCAAATTCCATATCGGTTAATATAAAGCCTATATATAGTGAAAACCGATTTCTTAAAAAAAATTACCATATAGATTAACTAATAGAATTTTTGTATTAAAATGCACATTTTCGATATCGGTCCACATATAGCGAAGTTATAGTGCGGACTGATTTCTGCAGAAATTGTACTTTAGGTAAACCAAAATAGTTTTTGTTACCAAAGAGTAAATTTAGTGCTAAAATACGGACATCTTAAGGAGAGAAAAAAATTTTCGATAACGGCCTACTTATAGCCGAGATATATCAAATCCCGGTATCTCAAGAAATTGAACTTGGAAGCGACATAAAACAGTTTTTTTGTCCAAAATACAAATACAATAATATAATTGTTTTTAAAGAAAGCTAAAAAAGGGTTTTAGAAGCAATCCGTATACAGCCAAGGTATAACGAAAACCAATTTTGCAAGAAAGTGAGCGTGCAACTAAGACAACAAAATTTTTTCTATCGAATTATAAATGTGGGATATGAAAGAGAAGAAATTTCTTTCATATCTGTCTTTATGTATAGCAGTGACATAAATGAAGCCGATATATGAAGAAATTTGAACTAGAAGTGAAGTGAAACAATCTGTGGTACCGAAGTAAAAATTATATAATATAGTGAGAATATTAAAAGTATTTTGAATCGGTTCAAATAAAGGCAAAATAAAGTGAAACCCCGTTTCGAAAAAAATTTAACCTAGAAGCAAATCTAAGCAAGTGTTACCATCAGCGAAGTGCCGATGGCATAAAGGCGATTGAGAGGCTATACAGTAAACATCTGCTTGTCTATCGCTCCATTAATATATTGGTGTGACTCTTGTGAAGGGTATTCCAGATTCGCCTTAGCTTGTTTCTTGTTTTTATTACCATTGCACCATGTACGCAAAAAGGCTTTTTAGGCTACGTTTGAATTTTTTCAGTGCAGCTCTACAATGATTTGTATTTGGATCCAGTTCTCTAACATGTTGTGCTCTAAACTATTGCATTTTGTAAAACTGTGTTGTTTTTTTTTGTTTGCTTGATGTGCTTATCGAGTTTTGTTCAACAACTGTCTGAAAAACAGCTTTAATTAAATTTATTTTCCTTGTTTCTATGAAATGTTTATTGCATCCTGTTGTTTTGAGCTTGAAGTTTGAGGCTTCCTTAAATGCGGCCAATTTCTGTGTTTGGCTGGCATTTATTTTTTATTATTATTATTCGTAACAGAATATGTCTTCCCTGTTACATTCTAATTTAAATTCATATTAAAGTTTGGTGTATTAGTATAAATTTAAATTTAGCTTGAATTATTATTGTGGGACCTTCAGCATCAAAATATGTTTTATTTTCTTTGAAATATAATTTTATATTGATTTTTTTTAAACTTGAGGTCACTTTATCTTGAGGTAATACGACTGTATTCACAACTTGAATATTTGTTAAGTTCTTATTTGATAAACTTCTATCAAATATCTGTCAAATAAGCGTTTAATAAAATTATTATGAATACAGGCAATAATTTCTTTATTTTTATTTTATTTTTCCAACATTTCGTTACACTTTTGGTATTTTCTTGAAGGTTAAATTGCTTGTTTTCATTTTTAATAAAATTTACAATAAAAACAGATGAAAACAACGAATTTGACCCGGAAGAAGATACCCAAAGGCATATCGAAATATTGCTTTCAACTAAAAGCCATCCACTCTCTATAAAAATTAATTAAAAAAGACAACAAATTAATATCAAGTATTCAAAGAAATTTGTTTAAAAAAAATATAGTAAAATGTGTACATTCGTCTGCGTTGTTTCTGACTAGAATAAAAAACTCGAAAAAATTCGCACCTATTGTACAAAAGTTAGCCATGGAACTTGCACAGTCATGTTCTGGGCCTGTATGCATACAAAGGCTTGAGAGGCTGGATTTCAATCGAATCAAAACCAGTATTTAGAAATTTTAAATGATTACACATGCTTCTTCTTCTTCTGGCGATAAACTGATTGTCCCACAGGACAACGCGCCTTGTCACTAGAGTAAAATGATTAAGACAATTTTGTTAGAAAATTATATTGAAACTGGCCACTCCAAAGTCCAGATTTTAATATAAGTGAAAATGTTTGGTCGATATAAAACCCAAGATCAAAAAATCTGACAAGATGCTGAGAAGAAATATATCAGAAGTTAAATCTTTGTAAGAGGACATAAAACAAAATACATTCCAGAATTGGTCGGTTCAGTTCCTGAAAGACTCCTGGCAGTCATTACTGCTAGCGGATGATACACATTTTATTAACAATAAAATATTTAAATATTGTACAAAACTGGAAATAATATTTTTGGTTTAAAAGGTTAACCTTTATATGAAATTACGATTTTATATTTATTATATAATAAATAAATTATACATATTTTCATTAAAAAAAAAAAAATGTAGAATTTTTTTATATATATCTGTGAAAAAATATTGAAATCTCAATTTTTTGATGTCTTCTACGACCTTATTTCAATATGAACGAGTTTATTCATTTAGTTCGGCTTATTAAGATTTTTATTTTTTTTCCTTTCAATTGAGAAGAAGTTTTTGTGATTAATTATAGTGATCAACAGCCTTTAAAGAAGTCAAGAAAGTAAATTTGAAGACTTATTAGATGGTGTACAGTCTGGCTAATTCATATCTTCTATGATACTCATCAGCACCCTTTGCTTCGAACTGCCGTTTCATCTAAACATGCGCCGTTTTGCATTGCTGCTTAGACAACTGAACTATCAGAGCTTTGATTTACTTTCTGTCTATATTTAATTTGTATCAATCACTTCCAATTTTAGCACTTTCTTGTACTTATTGCCTGGATGATTTTGTCATCTCAGAATTTTTGTTGGGCACAAGTCCATTAATTTTTATAAAATATTAAAATTTTAAATTTCTAGGTGGTGGAATACTTATGCCGACCACTATATAAGCTAAACAATACAATACTAATCTTACAATTTTAATCGAAGATTAATCAACAAAAGGTTGGCCAACTAAAGTTAAGGTATTCAGAAGATTATTTGGCCAAACATGCAAGCAAAAATCAACTAATCAACTCACAACCAACTGAAGCCTTAGAGCTTTTACCTGTTCATACATGCGTTTTTAATTGAATCAATATTATTGCAATATTATTTTACTGTTCATACATATACATTTTAGCGCCTACTCAATTAACTATATCGACAGCTGAGAGAAATATTGTTGTTATTTTTATGCTTGTATATTGTATAGGTGACAGACGGACGAGCTACAATTGTAGTGAATATCATAAGATTCATCTTTTATATTTGCTTGTGTGCTGTCATTGTACACTTTTGCTTACTAAACACACTACTGACAGTGTTGCATTTCATGTTTTGCTTAATATTTGAAATAATTTCGCATATATTAAGCAATAACTTTATTGCGTTAATGTACGAAAAATTGAGCTCAATAATGGTGTTTATTGCGATAATTTTAATAAAGCTGTTTGTGTGAACGGGCATTAGGAGTAACGATTTTATACCCGCTTAAAATGGAACTCTCTTTGAAGCGCCAATCAGGTATTGGTTTTGTCTTAACTCTTTACTGGAAAGGCCTAACTAAACCCTCTTTCTCTAGTGCTGTATTGGGTCACTAAAATGCTGCTCTATATATTTTTCGCATTATTTTCCTTTAAATATATTGTGTTTTTGAAGCAGCTTTTCTAGCATATAATACTGCTTGCCAGTTTTGTAAAGCAGGTACATATTGGCAGCGCTTCGATTGCGCTTTTATAATGCATGATTTTTTTATAACAAACACTAAACTGCAAAGCTTTTTGCTTGTCAGAAACACCCAGAGCCTGCGGCAGGAATCGAACCTGCGACCTCGTGACTGTTGGGCAGGTGCTATCCACTCAGCCATCGAATTTTAATTGAAATGAGTCATCTAGAAGCATTAGATTCTATTTGCTAATACTGCTTTATTTGCTTACAACAATAAACAAACATGACATATCTTAAGCCTCTGTTTTACGATAGTGCTTCTGAGAAACACTAATGTGATGTAAGCTGTAAAATACGTAAAACAAAGTCTTCTGTATTACGTTACGTTAATTGCACTTTTACTGCTTTAATGGAATCATTTGTTTTTGCAGAAGCAATGTATTGCTTCCCAGATTTTTTAGTGCTTCCATATGTAGAATGTTTTTGCTGGAGTTTATAGTATTTATGTTTACAGTGAACACTAATTACGAAGATTAGAAGTATGAAGGTGTAAGTGTCTCAGCTTTATGAACATCAAGTGAAGCTGCTTCATTGCAATAAATTATTATCTACTAAAATCATTTCTTTGACTGTGAATGTTTTGCCAAGACAAAATTGATTTTTCAGTTGCTTCATTCGTATCAAGTACAACAAGATAAACATTAAGGATAATTTTAAATTTTCCGGTTCACAAGAACTTATGACATGCAGAAAGTTTAAAAAATATTAAAAGTGATTAAAGCAAAATAAAATGCACAGACAACATCATGTCCAGTTTTGAGTATTATTAATAAAGACAATTTTTAATAATATCACGCTTAAATTCTCAGTCACTGTTTAAAGAACAATTAACTTAAATCCATAAGAAATAAATTGGCCAAAATCGTAATGAAAGTGAATCTGAGAATTTTATTACATAATTTATAATTACACAAAAGCAATGCGTTTGTTTGGTTTCTATAAATTTGTTAAATACCGCATTTAATAAATCTTAAGCACAGTACAGTTCGTAAAGCATATGGAACCTTAAATTGTTGTTTCAAAATATCAATAATTTTTGCTCAGCCAAAATGTCATGATGAGATTTTCCATTTCCTTGGCACAATCGTTACTGGCATTAATACAAAATGGCAAGATTGTTATCTAACATTGAATCAAACATTTAAGTGAACTAAACAAATAAAAGGAAAGAAACAAAATAAAATAACTATGTATATAACCTTTGAGTGTCCTTTTATATTTTGTTATTGGGGTTTAAATAAAAGAAACGAATAAAGAAATGTAATGAAATACGTACATAAGGTGTGTACATATGTACTTACTTAATCAAAAATATCAAAATAGAGAAGAAAAAAATTGTTGCATTTGAATGTACCCATAAAGAATAATTGCAAATAAACGGGCAACCCTGACAATAAAGAGCAACTCACACAGTTGCTAACAATTACAAGTGTTTGTTCATGTTTGTTCTACCCAGTCAGCATAAAGTGATAATTTTTATCAAATACGAGACATGTTTGCGACTTTCAACTTCTGTTACTTGTATATTGCAAGTTCTTGTGCAGAATATTACAGATGATATTAGGCCTATTCACAGTCTTGTGGAAATGATTTATTTATTTATTATAGTTTAGATATTTAGATAATTTTTATCAAATAAGAGACATGTTTGTGACTTCCAATATTATAGATGATATTAGCCTATTCACAGTCTTGTGGAAATGATTTATTTATTTAGTTATTATATCCAATAATTCTCTATGGATATTTGAAAATGTTTACTTTATACTTTCAAATATACAAATCATAGCAGCCAATTGTAGCTCATTGTATGAAAGTTGCTAAGAAAAGTAAATACAGTAGCAATACAGAAAAAGTTGTTTTTGTCTTTGAAAATGTGTTTAAATGTTTTTTAAATTCTCATTATTTCAATTGAAATAATAGAATATGAAGTAAATGTTTGAACATTATTTTCAACAAGGTTTTTCGAGTCTACTGACGAGCTGAGTAGCAACAGCGAAATATCGGCGGCTTATGGACATGCTGAAAGACAAAGGCAAAAACAACTAAAGGGTCTTTTGACCCAAAATAATTTATTTATTATAGTTTAGATACTACATAAATGTATGTTGCTATAGCAAAGATAATTATTTACAAATTCAATGGCTTATTATATTTTTCAGCTAAATAGATTTATATAAATTAGTACATTTTAAATATTGGGTTATAGTTTTTACAGATGGGGTTGATGGGAGCTTAATATGAGACATTGATTACGTTTCCGTTCTATCATTCAAATAAACTTAGTGCACTCCACAAGGTAGTGATGAATATTTAAATGATATACGTTATCACAATCACATGTCGGAGCAAATTCTCCTGTTATAATATAACCGTGTGTGTAAGTGTTGTGTGACCTAGTCTAAGTGTCAGAAATCTTATCAAGTCCCCTGGTTTAGCTTGTAAACATCACTGGTCCATGAAAATATATTAATCTTGGGAAATGATATTGCATCATTGCACTTGCAAACGGTTTAGCATTTCATTGACTATACCTAGCAAAATATATATTAACTAAAATCAAGATTTTATGCTTGAAGTCAAGAATTTCCTCAGCTTCAAAGTCAGTTAATCGAAAAAAATTCTTGATTAAAGAATAAAAATTTGAATTTCGAAATCGCAAGCTAAGCCTAATAAATCTTAAATTAATTCCCACTCAAAGACTGTATGTATTCAAGATTATGTAATTTCAAAAGAACATCTTATGTCATGACTATATTCCTAAAATTCAAGAACACATTCTCAATATTAAGACTACATTGTTGATTATTAGTACACATTCTCAAGTTTAAGATCACGTTCTTAAATTTAAGAATAAAATCTTAAAATGAAGATCGTGTTCTGATTTTAAGAATTTATGCTTGAATTCGAGAACGTCAATCTTACAGGCTAACATTCAAGATTG